TCAGGTTTTAGGAAAACCTTCTTCACTGAAAGGGTTGTCAAGTATTGGAACGGCTGCCCAGGGCAGTGGTGGAGTCACCATCCCTGGAGGTATTGAAAGGACATGTAGATGTGGTGCTTGGGGACATGGTTTAGTGGTGAACTTGGCAGTGCTGGCTTTACGGTCAGACTAGGCGATCATAAAGGTCTTTTCCAACCAAACTATTCTATGATTCCTTGACCCCCACCCCGCTGCCGTGTGCCATCCCTGGGCGATGGCATGTCCCCCTCCAGGAGCAATGGCACATTGTGACTCTTGTCTCTATTTTGCATCAGGGTGTGAACACTGGCTGGGTTTGAGCAGCAGTGTTTGGAGCCTGGCTGCGAGGTCTGGCTGGCTGCAGAGCTCTGATCCAGCCTGGAGCATCCCTGCAGACCAAGGATCAGCATGAGATCTCTGCCGTGCGCACTTTTCCATCCATACTCCTTCAAACAGAGTCATTTTGGACACTGGTGGCTTTTCCAGCAGTCCCAGTCTGGCCTAGCTCACTAGTCAGCCTGATGAGTTATAACAAATAGCTTTGTAATCAAACTGTTTCGCTTCCCCTTTCTGCTGAGGGCTTCCTGCCTGCCAGATCCTCCTCCACAGCAGTGAAAACAGTCGCTTTGGATTGCTGCTTCATTTTTCTTTGGCCATGCTGGATTTAACTGGATCTGGTCCCTGATCCAGTGACCTTTGAAGCCCTTGAGATGGCCAAAAAAAGAGTGTCAGACAGGAGTAGGGGTAGGATTGTTTAGTTCAGCTTCCTGCCAGCTTCTAATGACATTAAATATTTGTTTTGTTGCTTTTTTTTTTTTAAAAAAAAAAAAGGTTTGGCACAGAAAGTACCAGTGCAATTGTCAAATGCTCAGGAATGAAACCGGAATTGTTAAAACCGTGTCTAAACACAATGAAATCAAACGTGGTGTTAATTCAGCCATTCGTATTCTTTTAGTTGGTGGTTTCTGGAGCGCACTCAAACTGGGAGGAAGGGAACCAGTAGCAGCCTTCTGCTGGTGCTTTCCAGCCATTCCCAGCATGGATACAGGCAGGAATGGGAGTCCCAGCCAAAGGCCCGGGGACCAGGCAGTCCCAGCCACCCCACGCTCCTGGTGCTCTGTGCAAAGCGACCGTGTCTGTCTAGACATCTAGGATGGAGAAGGGATTTTGGCTTTTTAATACCAGAAAGTCCTGCTTGGATTTAAACCCTACGCCGGGAATAACTTGGGGAAGAGAGGTTAATAAATTCTCACTTGGATTTAAACCCTACACTGGGAATAACTTGGGGAAGAGAGGTTAATAAATTCTCACTTGGATTTAAACCCTACGCTGGGAATAACTTGGGGAAGAGAGGTTAATAAATTCTCGCTGTGTTCTAATCCTTTTCCTTCCTTGCAAGGTGCTGATGTCTCCAACCCCTCTCTCTTTTCAGAGTGCTCCTGTTCCCACCTCTGTCCAGTCGCCTCAGGTACCTGATCCATCGGACTGTGGACAACGTGGATTTGTTGAGCAGCTTTTCTGTGGGAGAAGGATGGAGGAGGAGGACGGTCATCTGTCACTCGGCTGTAAGGTACGGTGTGCTGGATGTAACAGTGGTTCTTTTTCTATGGCTGTGGGGCTTTTTTGCTCAAGCTTATGAGCATGAAGTTTGCGTGGTGCTTCTCCAAAGAGGAGGATGTCTGTTTGTGGTAGCATCTTCCAGTCATTAAAGAAGCAGAGACTCTTTTTTCCCCCCCTATCTGCCAATTTCCATGTGGATTTGATGCTTTTCCTCCTCTCTCTTTTTTGCAAATGTCACAGCAACTGGGGTTCCTCTGCTCCCTGCTAACACCTTGCTGTTTTCTTGCTCCCAGGCTGCCCAGCGAGACTAGTGACCAAAAACCCAGCAGCAACCCACCGAGACCACCGCGACCACCTCAGCCATGGGGCCGGGGCGGCCGAGGCGGCAGGCTGCGTCATGGTGGGGAGCTACACGGTGACAATTCTCGAGCCTGTGTGGGCTCTGGCAGGATAAAAAGGCCACCCTGGAAGAAACCAGATAAAGCCCTGTACGTCCCCAAGGCGATGCGTAAGAAGGCGGAATGGAGGGAGCAGGAGCGACCGGTGGCGGCTGGCACTGAGTCAAGTGGGGATGTGGCACAAGAAGGAGAAATCTGCCCTAAAGCTTCAGTTGGAGATGCCCAGGAGGAACTGGGTAGGTCTGAAGGCAGCTCAGGTGATGTCTCCTTGGCCCTTGGCAAGCAACAGGAGCCTGGTGAAGAGTGTGTTTCAGGAAAAAGTAACGACAACACCAACAGTGAATATCCTCCGTGCCCTACGGATGTCCCGACATCACAGAATCGTAACAATTTATCTGGGCAGGAAAGTCAGGCTAAAGACTGTTCAGATTCTCTTCCTTCTGTGTACAATAAAACCCCAATTGAAGCAGAAGAGCAAGATCAGAGCTGTGACAACACTTTTACACCAGAAAGTAGCAAAATCCTGTGCCAACTGCAAGCTGAAGACCAAAACAGCCTGGATGCCAGCGGAGTGGAGTGTGGCAAAAACCCCTCCCTATTGGAAAGTGGCAGCAGTAACTGCTGTACAGACCCGGCTGCAGCAGAGCCGCCTGCAACATCGCTCCTGTTGGAAAACCAAGATAAGAGCTGTGCTGGTGCCAAGAGTCTGGAGAGCAGTGGAAACGTGTCACTGCCTGAAGAACAGGGCAAAGACTTTGTGAATGCCGGTGCGGTGGAGGGAGGCAAGAGTTTCTCCAAACTGCAAAGCCAAGATCAAGAGTGCCTCAGCGTTGCCCAGGTGGAGAGTAACCAGAACCCCCCAGAAGCTGAAAATGAGCCTCTGGCCACACCTGAGCTGGTCCATGGTACCGACCCATCAGCTCCTGAGGACCAGAACGAGCGCTGTGTGGATGCTCCCGTGCAGAATCGCAGCGGGAAGGTGCCGGTGACAGAAGAGGAGGACAAGGAGAGCTCGGGCTTGGCCGATGCGCTGTGGCGTGAGCTGCGCTTTTCTGCAGGCGATAAAGAGGAGAACGTGGCCTTCCACAGGCAGAGCAGCCTTGAGGACGACTGTACCGCAGAGCTCTTTGCAGAGGTAAGCCTTGTGCCATGGGTGTTGCCGTGGGGAGTGACTTTGGGGTGAAGAGGGTGGCTCAGGAGTTGGCCTGAGGGGAAGGCATTAGTCTGTGGGAGGAGAGTCCCTGTGCCAGGGCTGCCACCGGCGGGGGGCGG